GTGTGGGCGTGTAGAGGGTAGAACCCGAGGAGGGACCTCGTGCGCAAACTCTGAGATGCGGCTGTGATTTATAAAGGAAAGATGCGCAGAAACGTGCGTACGTACGGTTTTATAAATCTGAATTTTTTTTGGCGTACGCCATTTCCGCCTTTTGGCCGTACGTTCACTTTTAGTATGGTTTCCACGCAATCCTTTATAAATGAGACCCCAGATCCTTACCCTAAACCTGACCACCACAGTACAGAACTAACCCTGACCCGCCGTCGAATCACACCTTATTCCTAAACCTAACCCCTAATGTTGTCCCGCTTCCTAGTTGGATTTCTCCATCCGATGCATAAATGGTGTTCCACTACATAAGAACTGCTCTTTGGTCCCCAAAAGAACTGCTGGTCTTGATAAGGTAGATCAGGGGTGCCCAAACATTTTCCCTAAGAGGGCCAAAATTAAAATCAATATGAGGGAATATAAAATATATGAATTTAAAAAATGCAAATACTTAAGTAAAGTTGTTTTATTTTTTCTGATTAAGCTAGCGGCCAGTGTGGTTGCCCACATTCTTTTAATTTTTTTTTTCAGCCAATGGACATGGAGAAAATTCAACATATGCTCAGGCAGCAAAGGCTCATGGGAGTATATGTGGTCTCATAAGGTGTGTAAATCTATTTATTGGCTCAAATCTAATCTAAATGCTTCTTGTAGTGGCTTGTATTTTATATTTAATCTTAACATAATTACAACCTAGTAACCAGGACAACTGCTGGTGGGCCAAATCAAGTGGCTCGGCGGGCCAATTTTGGCCCGCGGGCCCCACTTTGGGCACCTCTGAGGTAGATGTTTGCCAAAAATGTCCCATAAAGGTAAAGAAAACCAGTTACTCAAAAAAACGGGCAAAAACATCATCAACCACTTTCACTTCCCAGCAGGTGGTGAGAAATGTTGGACAAAAATCTGATAAACAAACAAACAAACAAACAAAGAGGAGCTGTATGGATGCAGTTAGAAAGCACATGGAGTGGGGACAGAGTGAGATGGACCTCTTACGAGGGAACAGTCGAAAGAAGAGGACGATGACGACCCGGTCAGAGTTTTAGTCTTTCTGTGGTTTATCAGTGGCACAGCCTCCTCCCTCAGTGCAATGCTTCTAGGCAAAGACTTCAACACTGCCTGCTGCATACAGACAAGACAAGCAGTCGGTCACTAGGTGTGAAGGGCACTGCCATTTGTCTTGGTTTATTTAGCAATCAGGGAGGCAAGATGCAAATGGGACTTTGAGAGGAAGGAGATGAGGAAGAGGAAGCGGCAAAAACAAAAAGAGACTGAGATTTGCCACTTAAGCAGACAACTTTCAAGCATACACACAACACAGTAAGTTGTTAATCAAAGACTGGATTACATTGTTTTTTTTAAACACAGCTTTAACCATAATACAAAGTTCCATGACAGTTCTTTACTGTCGCCAGTGTTGTTTCCAAGTTGCTTTAGGAACAAAAGCCAAGATGAAATCCTCCTCAGAATTTACCCCTAACAAGTCAATTTTGTTGTTCTCTATTACTTTACTTGTGTTTTACTACTGATTATGTTAAAACTATGTGAATCAAGGTCAAAACTGTAGTCTAGTGGGTGAAAAAAAACAACACTTCTACAACAAATATGTGATTTCCAGAGGTCATCTTACAACCAACACTCATCTGCAGCCAAACAAGTTGCTCTTCAAACAGCGCAGCAGCTAAACTAAATATTGACAGGCACTAAAAAAAATAAAGGACTGCGTCCAACATTTTGCCGTGCAAGCTGTTGTTGCCCACACTTTCCCTGCTATGGTAAATTTAGGTCATATGTTTATAATTTGCCCTTTTCCTAATGCTGCTATTGGAGTAAAATACCATTTGAGAGYGGCAATCAGATTGAACAGAGCAATACTCTGGCTAATTAAGTCATATTTCTAGTTCAATTCTAATCAGCTTGGTGAGATAAAGGCCAGGCGGGGAGAGGGGAGTGTGTGGAGCAGCAATATGGAAGCTTTTACTGCAATCAGCCCATTGTAGCCCGGACAGAGAAGCTGGCTTTTAGTGTTTCTGGTAACGAACTGAACAGACTGTGTGTGTGTTTGTTTGCTGCACTTCCATTGATAAAATACACCAGAATGTACAGAAAACACAAAAACTACTGTTTTTGTCCTGCCTTAATTCAAACACCAATTAATTTCAAATCCCTTTTGACTGGAACCCCAAAGGATTTTATGCAACATCATCATGAAGACAAAACTGTCTTGATGAACATAACAACCACAAACTGAGGCAGGTGTAGAGTGAATGATTTTAACTTTACCAAAGATTCAAATAAATTAATGAAAGCAGTACAAATAAGAAAAACTAATCTCGTTGTTGCACTATAAAGATGAAATTTAATGCATGATTAGGTTGTGCATCTAAATCAGCCAATTGGAAGAAAAAGCCAGTGTGTCTCTTGTGCCTGTCCCAACCCGGGTAAATGGTGTTTGGAGGGGCATCCAGAAAAAATAACACTTTTGCCAAAGCAAACCATCATCTGGATGCAGTACAACTGAATTTGAGTTCAGATTTAACACAGTGCAATTTGTTACATTTGGACCAAGTCAAGGAACAATCCCACACAATTAAATTATACTTTAATAAATTTTAGAAAAAAAATGCAGCACGAATCAAATAAATTCTTATAAAACCCAGCTCACCATAAAKAAAACAACAAGGCAGAGTCTGATGCTTCGGAGCATTACAAAAAAATTTCCAGACAAAGTTGTTTTTAGTATTCCAGCAGGAGCCTTTTATGCAGCCTRTTTTTGCAGGACCAATTTTGAAAATTATGGCCTGTTTGTGTGTGCACAGCTTGCAAAACTGTATTGTTGGTCGTGCACATTATTTCACTGCAAAAACAAACAAAAAAAGAACATCATGATTCATACCTCATGACCACAGGTGAGGGTCAGAATATAGACGCAACTGTAAATTAAGAGATCTAAACTCTTTCTTCACCACAACCATCCAAAGCAATGACCTCATTACTGAGGATGAGTCACCAATCTGTTAATTCATCTCCCATTCCTTCCTACTGTCACTCCTCAACAAGAGACCCTGATACCTGAACTTCTCTACCTGGGGCAAAGACTCCCCTGTGACCCAGAAGGGACATTAAATCGATTTCCAGTTGAGAACCATGGCCTCAGACTTAAGAGGAGCTGACTCACATCCACGACGCTTCACTGGAGACCCTCCCAGTGCACACTGAAGGTCAAGACCTGAAGATGCCAACAAATACAACCTAAACCAGACAGCCTTCTCTCCATGACTGCACCTTAAGATCCTTGTCCATGAACCCCACAAACAGGATCAGAGACAAGAGACAGCCTGCACCAACAATGAGCTCAACTTTGTGTCAAGAGTTTGGACACAGCTCATACAAGAACGGGATGTCAGAACACCTTGTGGCAAATCAGAAAAAAGCATAAATATCTGCACACTGATCAACCACTTTCAGTGTAATCAACACAAATTCCTCATTCAGGTGGCTCTTGAGTTGATCCACAGTTGCTGCAGTTCTCCTTAACAGTAGGTGTCACTAATGCGGAAATGATGACTCTCCATAAGCTGATTGGGGCTCAAAACCAAGCAGTACAGTGAGGCCTTTTCTTTATGCACATACATAACTACGATTTTAATTTATCTGTTTTTCTTTTGGACAGATGTCTGACCAAAAAAATGTTTTAAACTTTACCAAAGCAAAGACAAAATTAACGCAACACACTTCTGAATCTCCTCACAGCTGCAGCACAAGTTCACTAGTCTGTGCATCGATTCTAATCAGTTAATCTTTAAATTCATAAAGTCTATGAATAAAACAGTTTCTGATGCTACAAGGAGGTGAAATAAATCAGGTAAATCTGGGTGTCTTCAAACTGGTTTGGCCCTTGTGTCCTTCGTGTCACCCTTGCCGTCCCCGCCCTGCTCCTCACTCCTTGCCTCACCGTGCGAACATCTCTTCCATTACTGCCCTTGACACTGTGGCCGATTGGATTCTTATCAGCCATCTGTAGTCCGACGCTCGGCCAGCGCTATCTCTCGTCACAGCCTAATTGAATCCCAAGTGTTGGAAGTGTGGTGATACACTGACCACGCCATGTCACTGCCAATAGATAAGGATTGCTGCTGGAGGATTGGACCGCCACAAATCACAACGGGGACAGGTTGATAAAGGGGTGACAAGCATTTTGGGGTTGSTACTGTGTCTGTGGGACTTTAGATGGAGAAATAATGGATACTCTCCATTACTGAGAAGGTTGTGTTCATATCCAATCATCCTGAATCCCATAATCTTGCTGTGCTCAGTGGGGTGATTTGTTGAAAGTTAACCAAGGGGAAAGTAGGGCAGGTTGTTCTTTTTCTGCAGTTTCTACATTATACAAGATGGATCAATTCTAGGTTTTATCTCATTTTATACCAACTAAATTATTCTCAAACTGCTTCACAGAAATGTAAAAAAAAACATTTTAGCTGTACAACAAACACTTAAATAATTGCTGTTTTTCTTGGGTTTTTTTAAAGAGCCCCTACCTTAACAGACCAAATCCTTTCTTTTTGGTTTTTTTGTCCAGGTCGTCCCCAGAATCCTCAGCTTTTTTCTTGCTCTTCGTCGTCTTCTTATCCTTCTTCTTCTTCCCTTTGCTTTTCTTTGTTACCTGCTTCTCTTCATCCAGATCCTGGCGAGAGGAGCTGCTGGCTGGTGTTTCGTTGCCTGAGCTGTAGTCAGACCCATCGTCATCTGGGGTGGGGGTATACAGGTCATAGACAGACAGTGAGGCGTGCTAAAAACAATAGATCTACAGGATGAGTCAAAAGACTCCGGACACCCTGTGATTTCAGAAATGAAAGGGAAAATTTAATATCCGAGTCGGGTATATCCAGAACACGGCTGCCATCTTGAACGCCACCATATTGGATCAAAGACAATTTTTTTCCCAATGGGAAAGTGATCATGTAACATCTCAAAGAAGGCTAGAATTGTCTCAGAAATGGATTGTCACAAGCAGATGATGTGCAAGATCTCTTGTGGTTCCAAAGTGTGTTCAGCACCAGGGGCAGCACATTTAACACATCAAACTGCTGTGACAAAGTGCCCAGTTGTTGCAATTTTCTGTGTTGTTAGCTTTTGAAACACAACAGATATTGGTAATTTGACTACGGCAATTCTGGTGTTCTTTACTTCCTGATCACCTTCCCATTTTAAAAACTTGTCCCTGATCCAAAATGGCAGCTTTCAAGATGGTGGCCATGTTGTGGACATAGTCTAAAAGATATGTCCGCTCACCCCTTATACGCTGGGTTATTCAGATATGTCATTTTCCCTTCTGCTTCTACAATAAATGGGTGTCCTGAGTCTATTGGCTCATTTTGTATAAACAGTCTTGTTATAAACACTAAAACTGAACTTTGTGTCATGTCAAATTTGATTGAAAGAATTAAGGTGTGCATTTTGGGAARTCTATAATTCCATGTTAACTTGAAACCGCACATAAAATAATCCTCATTTTTAAATAAAATGTCTATCATTTCACGTGGAAATTGCACCAAACTACAGTAGGTCCACATGTACGAGTGGTCGTGAGGTGAAGCATTAAAAAATTGCTGCTCTAAGATATAAAGTTGTTCTTTCTAAATTGCTGGGTGGATAAAATCATGTAGCATTTCATTAAAGTACTTAGGCTGAGCACCGTCTCCTCTCTTGGCAGGCCTCTGGCTCTTTCTGAGTGCCAGTTTGTTATAAAGCCTCAGGGTTAAACATCAGCATTGCAGTCTCTAATTTAAAATGGATATAATGCCCAGAAGAAGGAAAAAAAWTCCATATTATTATAGCTGCAGCATTAAAAAAGGCACATTTCCTCCAGGGAAGTGATCTGTTTCATCAGTTTCTTGTTGGGTTAGTGAAGTTCACAGCAACTTAAAGAACTTAAAAAAAAACCAAAAAGCTTACCATCCTCTGAAGGTCCCTCGTAGGATTTGTCGATGGCGATGCGGAAACTCTGGTTGTATCCTCGCCCTCGGACCATATGCAGACGTGGACGATGGATGGGCACCTGAGCTTGGCTGCGATCGTGGTTGGCCTCAGACATGGCGGTCTGGAGGCTCTCCAAGGAGCTGGATTTCATGAGCCCAAGGGTTGGACCCAATGCTCCTCTGGACGAGAAATCTTTGAAGCAACAAGAAACAGGGGAGGGTATGAACTTGTGAACAAATGTTCCAAACGGAAGCAGAAAACAAATTTAAGCCATCCCCTAATGGAAACTTAAAACTTCAGCATTTAAGGAGATCTTAAAGGGTGGATGGAAAAATTCAGATACAAGCTGATATTTTAAAGCACCTAAAGGACATTAGAATTCCTCTAGTGTTCTTCAAGTTCCATAATTTTCTTGCTTTTACTCATTTCCCACTTACATAACTGAGGTGAACTGAAATGAGATGGAAAAGGAAGCCTGGCTGAGGTTTGCTCCTAATTAGATATGCAGCCRCAGCTAAAATGAGATGGAATAATCTTATTGAGATCATAAGCTTTTAGCAAAATCCAGCCAAATGCTTAGAAAACATAAAATTTGTACACATCTCCTAGCGTTATACTTCCTTATTYAATTAAAGTGCATCTGCATTAAACTCTAAACACTAATGCGCTTTACAATTTAATTTAATTTTTTTAAGAACTAAAATAGTTGGAAGATTATATTCCAGAGGAGCAGAGGAGGCTCTTACTTTAATAATTCATACTATTTGTGTGTAGCCATGTTCACTGCTTCGACTGGCTGCATTAACTCAGAGTGTAATTAATCTCTGGTAAGTGGCTGAAACATGTTCAGGTTACACTCGTCTTTTAAAAGGCTCTGAATTTAATCAAGCTCCAATGTTCTGGTTTTAAATTTTTATCATGCCACAACTTTATATCTACAGAAGAATCATTTTAATGTAGAAAAAAAAATCATCTTGATGTCTTTTCTTCTGACTTTTTATTAATTTGAGATACTCTGGACATAAAAGTTCTWATATTTTTCCAAAAGCATGCATTGCATTTTTGCTTGTTAAGTTTGCACATTTGATTAAATAACAATGTACAGATTCAAGGACATCACCTGCAACCAAAAAATATATAATTAAAGCAGAAAAGTACTGAACTAATGACAGCAGWGTTCCTTCAAGAACAAGTAATGCACAAAGACACATTCTGAACTGTTGAGTATGTGTGAAGCATGAATCATAGACCAGGGCTTTCCAAATTCTTCCATGCCATGGCCCTCCAACCAGCAATAGCTTCTGGCTGGGCCCCCTCCCCATCCAAACCCACAAACAATGCTTCAAAATATGTAAYGCAGCCAAACTTTTAGAATATTTTTTTATTCATTATTACATTTGTGTAGCATAAGAATTGTATCTCTTTAACACTATTCCCACTGAAAAAAACAACTTTTCAAAAAAAAAAACTCAAGATCTTCTAAATAACATTTCAATATATTATTATAAAATATATATTTTAAATAATGATTGAAAAACAGATTATATTTTATGGTAATGACTTAAAACATTGATTCAGTTTAAATTTTGCATTTTTTTCTCTTATATTCCCTCCAGCTTTCTAAAGCCCCCATGATTTGTTTTTAAGACCAATATTTTTAAATCAGAGGACTAGACTTTAAGTTTCATTTTTACTTCAAAATAAAGTATTAGTTTGAAACAATAACTGCTCAAAAACAATAATTGTTTTTCTGTTAATGACGTTTAACAAACTACCGCAAAAAATGCACACCAAGCAAACATTTGGGACCCATGAAAAAACATTCTGGCTAAAGGCCCCGTCACACTAGACAGCTCATGAAACAATTTTTATGTTTAAATTGCTAATAAATATTATATATTTGATCAATTTGTTAGAATTACATTATGTACATGCTGAAAAGAAGCTTCCTGTTGATTTTTTCAATTCCATCTCCAATGTAGATGTTTTTAAAATGTTCATAAGTTGGAATAAGTTGTCTTGTGTGACAGAGCCTTAAGAAAGGCCTCCAATTTTTTTTAGGTGTGGCTATTGCTCCCCCTCCACTTGCCTACTTTACCCACATAAAGTTCTGTCATGTTCCCATCCAAAGAATGGACAGAAATAGGCAACCAAGTAAACAACAACAACAACAACAACCAGGGTTTCCCCTACATGTAAATGATCGTGGCGCACCGCCACGGCTAAACAAAAGCTGCCACATCTTCGGAATGAAGTTTTTTTTAAATAAACGTAAAACAGGGGTTGACGCAATCATTGTTTAGTTTGTCCGAGACAACCTATTTTTGTTTGGGACAACCAGATCCTGTCTCCTGGTTGTCTGGTGGACAACAAAGAAAAAAAAACCTGGATTAAAGTTTTCCTCCGCATGTGTTCGTCATTGTAAAACTGAACAGGAGAGAAAGAAACTTGTTAAAGCTGTCTAGGGATTAAACTGATGGTTCTTTCACCCAATAAAGAGAAAAAAAGTCAAAGTTTTACCCAATCAGAACCGGGCAGGGAGGTTTGTGCCATCTGACTGACAGCGTTGCCTTTTTCCTCTGTCTGTGATGGAGGGTCAGCTCGGCTCAGGTGAACATGTCCCAGGAAAGCCCTCAGCGTTTCCTGGACTATTTCCACGGAGGATTACGTCGTATTTTATATATATATTATATTCCTAAAAGCAGCTTGC